ATAAGAGAAGCTCAACAAGAAAATACATGGAGACCTGCACAAAAAAAGAAGAAACAAGTGCAACTGCCCAAAAAGTTTGAACGAGTCCACCCCGAATACCCTAAAAAGTCATCCTTTCAATATGATAGCAAAAAGTCTGAGAGGATTGATTACAATAGAAATCCTTGTTGTCATAGATATCCCTTAGTTATACTCGACCTGAGGCAGACCATATTTTTGAAATCTTTACACAAGCAAATTTCTTTCACAAGTGCAACTAACATGTAAGAGTTATAGTCATCTAGTGGTAGATTGGAATTGCATGAGCATGCCAGATTGAGAGTATGACAAGCAATTCAAAACAAACAAGATGAGCCGAGAGGATACCAAGAAGAAGGCCACTGATAGATGGAAATTGGTCAATGAGGTACTAGAGGGTGAGAAGGAGCTTCTTTTAAAAAATAATGTCAATTTGACCAAGCTCACCATCACTGTGGAGACCTCTCAGACCAAAGCCACCTGGCAAGAGGTTGACCCCTTGAATAAGCGGGTGAAGGTGAAGATTGTTACTTAGTTTTTCCTTAATCAGTTAGTAGCGAAGAAGATACTTCCTGAAGCTCTCAAGGACCTAGAGAATGTCTATACAAAAACTGATGATATAGAGAATTTGGATGAGGAAAGTGCCGCATATTATGCAATTTCTACTTTTAGTTCTTTCATATTTGATTGCCTATAAATCAAGCATGGTTAATAGAAAAAAATCTTTTACCTTTGTGCCTTTTTTTTATTCACACTTTCCGTTTTGATACTATTGAGCATGAGAATGGTAATGGCAAATAAGTCTTATATAGGTCATGAAAATTATAAATTTCGATTCAATTTTATAAGCGGCGTTAGCTCTTAGCTGATATAAGAAAACTTTTATTTAAGAGTAGGCTCTTAGGTTGAATAAGATCTATATCAGTAAATAGACTCTTACACCAAATAAAACTGAGATTTGGGAGTAGGTTCTTAAGCCGCATAGGAATATCTCAATCAATGAGTATGCTCTTGAGCAAAATTGTGGGATTTCGTTCCCATGGGTTAGTTAGTGAGATTGCTTTATTGGCCGATTAGACTCACTAGATAGTCGGCTCGATTGACCGATTAGGATCCTTTTGTGGGCAAGGTGGCTATTTCAATAGGTTAAGCATGTTTTTATAATTCATATCATTCACCTAAATCTTACTCACCGTGAGAGTAACCATATAAGCTTGCCAAAGAGTGGACTCATTCACTGTTCATTGTGAGTTTTTTGCAAATATATGAGTCACACTCTAAGGATGGACCCATTTGAGTAAGATTAATAGGAATTGATGCCTTCAAAGTTTGGGGTATGAGCCATGACTTACACGAATTCTCATTTTGGTGCTTGTGATATTGTAAAATAGTAATTGAATATAAAATTAAAAATTATTTTTTACTGTTTTTGTCAATTTGTGGGTCGGTTTCATAACATAAGGGGTTTCTTTTATGAATCCATTAGATATTTTTTATTTCTTTATGTGGCGACTTAAGATTAAAAAAGGAGTAGAACGACCTCACTAAGTTCAAACCTTTCTTCAATTGGGGACTAGATTCTCCTTCAAAAAATAATCATGGTGACGTTTCAAATTTACGCAAGTCAAAATCTCATAGTATTCAATCAATAAGTTGACTATTCGAGACATTGGCTAGTAGAGTCACAAGCAAGGAATATTCTAATGTTAAGGAAGTTGCAACCTTGGAGTAAAATTATTGCATTATCTCTGTGTGAGCTGAGATGAGTTTCTCATATGTGATAGTTGACATGTTAACTTGTTTTAAATTAACTCATCTGAAAAAAATTAAGGGTTTTTGTTGCTTTGTGATTTATAATTTTATTTTTATTGCATTGTGACTTAAAATCATAAATAATTATAATAACCTTGTTAAGTTCAGAATTTTCTTCGCTCAACAGTCGTAGCTCTCCTTCAAAGAGTAATTAGTGTAACTTGCAAACTTAGGGTGAAATCTCGCGATCATCGGACCCCAAGCAGACTAACTTCATCATTCACTAGATAAGTCATAATTAGAAATAGAATTTCTCTAGAGTCGACGTATATTACTAATGAATTGGCCAATTCAACTCTCTTTTTTAACAAAATACACTTATTTATTTCAATCTATAAAACCAATTATTCCCCGAATTTACTTAAGACGGCTCTCCAAAGTCTTCTTAGAGAACTCAGTATCGTACATGAGTTGAACACATCTTTATAAATTTATTAATGTGTATATTGCTTTTATTTTTCCTTACAAAAATACAAGCAGTAAAAAAAAAAAAATACAATATAAGTAGGGTCATCTCCACTCCACGTTCCGGGCCTTCTTTGCCAATGTAACTATAAAGTTGTTACGATTCAAGATTGACATATTTCTTGACTATCTATAAGCCATCCTAAGTTGACTGTAGTTTGTTTAGCAATGTTTGTGTTACCACCACGTCGACATACTTTAAGACCAAGCTCAGAACCTTTATTCCTTGACAATAGAGTTATGATATTTGGTCATCCTTCTCTTGACTTACTATTCTTCATTATTGATGGCATTCAAAGGTCCTATTGTAGGTCAAGCGCCTTCTTCAACACAACTTCATTAAATTATTACCATTCATTGAATTTGCCTTCATATTTGTAAACAGATGCCACATATTGGTTATATAAGCGTGCCCGACTAGTAGCTGGTGTCATGTGATAGCATAAATGGAGCCTACCATGTAGTTGATGGAGTCTTCCTAAGAACCCATAGGACTGAGGAGAGTGCATCAAACCATTTTCCCTAGCAACCTCAAATTATTTCCGTAAATGATTTAAAATTTTCTTATCGCCGTTTTTTACTTAGCCGTTTGTTTTTGGATGATGCACGGAGGTGAATTTAAGGTAAATTCCTTAGCTTATATAGAAATATTTGAGATTTTTTGCCAAATAATTGAGGACTATTGCCGGTAATGATAATAAGTGGTACTCTACATTAGCGGATGATGTTAGACATGGTCTTCACAATCGTCTTAGCAAACAACTCCCGTGCTTGCTCGAGTGAACACCGAGAATATAAGTGACCTCATTTTCATTCAATAGGTTACCTTTATACCATCATTTTGTTTTCATTTTCCATGATCATCTATTAATCTATAGGTTTCATAGTACCTCTATTGGAGATCTATTGCCTAGGAGAGGAAGAATCTCTGCCATTATGTCTACTACCAAAATAAAGCTATTATCAACTCCATCTTCAAATTTACATTGTGTTAGATGTTTTCACATAGTCGTTTTATTCATATGAGCACAAATCTCTTCTTTCATTTCTTTGGTACATTGGTATAAATATAACATTTTTATGAGAAATAGAAATATGTTCGTTTATTCCCCTAACACCCTCTTTTATTTTTTTTATATCAATAATAGCACTTCAAATAAATGTATGGCTTCACACTCCAAGAAATTTGCATTTCTATGCTTCTCTGTCGAATCTTTTCTATTATTGCCCACATTTCTAATTGAACTCTTATCAAACCTTTAACCATTCTTATGCCTCATGAAATATGCCTTAAAGTAGCCTCATACAACTAAGGTGTGTGCCTCAATTGGTTCACATAAGACATGTGCCTTATACCTTCTTTTATGCGCCTCAACTTGAGACACACTTCAAAGTGTTCCTTAGATTATGCAATTAAAAAAATATGATCCATTTCGGAAAGTAACTAAGTGTATTTATTGTTACTAAAGTATCTATTACTATTGCAAGTCCATATCTCAATATGAATTCAATTAAGCTTCTCTCATCACATGTATATCAACTATTCCAAACCCATCATGAATTCTATCGTCACCAATCGTAATAATATCATAACACTTCAACCATTTCTTGCAAATAATTGATCTTTTAAGTTATCATTATTCCATCTCATAAGCAAATACGCAAAACACATTTATAATGTCTCCACAAATAATTAACTTAATAAATAATCAACATACCATTAACCATACTCATGTCAATAATTTCTTTCTTTCATTTATTTATCCAGTACTAACTTTATCTATTCCTATAGTTAGCTTTTCCGACACAACAATTTATAGCCTTCCACCAATGTCTCAAATTGTTCTTTTAAGCAGTGATTACAATTCCTCTTTTAATCATTATTTCAACATACTCTCTTGTATTCCAGTTTGAATTCCTTTCACAAATTTCACAATAAAAAATAAAATTTTAATTATATGATCTCATTAACCCTATTTAATTTTTCACCACAAATTGTTTATGGAATGTCGCTTGCGGTGACATCATTGCCAAACCTTGTTTATTTTACACAACAATTCAATTAACTTGTGTCGCATCACTTACAAGTAATGTCTTAGCAAACCTTCGCCTACTTTCTCTATGATCAAGCTAGGTTGTGATGTGTTACCTCTAAAGAGCACTTTAAAAATTCAAATTTTGATTAATTTCATAAATTTATTGATTGGTTACAGCTTGATGTCGACCTGTAACCTTTATTGTCCAGGTGTGGGAACAAAAGCAGCATTGTTTGGCAGTCTCCTAATTTCTTAATTTCAATTTTCTTATAAATGTCATAAATCTAAATAGACAAAACTTAAAAAGGCAACATTATTTTTAGCAGTCGACTTAGATACCCTTGTAGCCAAATGACGTATGAGAATAGCCTTGTAGGGTTGTATCTTACTTAGTCGTATGCAAGTAATGGCCTTATAGATCCATGGACATATTTTAGTATAGGAATTGACCAGAAAATAGAAGAAGCAAAGGGGATACTGTATCCTATTAAATGGATGATAAGCTTGAGTTATAGACAACAAAAATAACTTACTGTCGTAGTTAAAATGCCCAAAATGGGACACGGAAAACCTAACAAGCATAGCAGGGAGATAGGAGGAGATGAAAACATAAATTTTCAACAGCATAAGCTCTTAGATTAAAGAAAAGAAGAACAAAAGATAGACGACCTGTATTCCCAAGACTGGAATCCAGATTTGTAGAGGAGGTAGTGAAGGGGTTCCCAGTAGTTGAAGACCTCATCACAGTCATGGATGATGTTAGATGAAGCACTCATGTGGCGCAATAGCCCTAGCGCCAGAAATGGCAGCTGCCATCGGAGCCCCTTTTCATGCTGGCGCCGATCCTTCTCATCCTTGTCTTCCTTCGAGTAGCGATCCGCCACTTGCGCTGCCGCATTCGTGGAGTCTATATCAGGAACCGCCTGCCGGCGATGCCTCGGCAGCGTGAGTGCCATTGCGGATAAAAATTACCCGAGTTGGGCTCCTTTTTCACCACCTTAAAAAAAAAAAAAATTTTAAATATTTAAAATGTTCATTTGAGTGTCACCAGACTTGAAGGCCACCTGAATATTTTGGAAAAATACAAACGCTGTTCAAACACTGTTAAATCTTTTTCTCGGCTTGGATTTTTCTTCGGGCTAGGGTTTAGGCGATATGTCTCTCTTAATTTCAAAGAACACTACAACATAACATTTTTTAAGATGGAATATGAAGATTTTGGTGAGAATAACGGAACATATGTGAGTTTCACTGCTTTTAAAATTGTAACATTCATTAGGGCCTGTTTTTTAGTTAACAGATTCTATTTATTATTTCACTTAACGCACATTTTGAAATGGATTTCTATTGTTTTATCCAAACCTAATATTTTTATAATTTTTTAATAAATCTATTCTGATATTTTATCTTTCATTTGTTTCTTTCACGGGAGGAGCCACTATTTGGTTCATTTATGAGAAAAAACAAAATAGATACAATAGTAATTATCACAATGATACAACCAAAAGACCACCAGAAGAATACTTCAATGCTGCCGAAATAACTCCAAAATACCAACATAATGAATCATAATATGACTTTATTATGACGGCAGTATCATTGTAATACTTCCAGAATAATACATTAATGCCACCATAATATCATAACAATATCACAACAATCATAATAATACAACCAGAATATCACTAGAATATTACAATGATATTACCTGAATACCACAAGAATTGCTCCAGAGCACCACCATAATACCGCAACACTAATACATTAAACACAATAATACAATCAGAATACCACTGGAATACAACAATAAAACTTCTGAATACCACGAAAATTGCAACAGAATTTCACCATAATACCACAATAATTATAAATATAATACAATAATAATATCACCAGAGTACCACGAATACTACTAGAATACTACCAGAATACTGCCAGAATATTACAATAAAAATATCATTAGAATAACACCAAAATATTTAGATGATATTCTAATGGTATTCTGGTGGTATTCTTGTGGTTTTCTCTTGATATTCTATTAGTATTATGGTTATATTTTTGTGGTGTGTTGGTGGTACTCTGACGGTATTTTGGTAGTTTGCTTATGTTATTTTGGTGGTATTCTTGTAGTATTTAAGTAATATTATATTGATATTTTGATGGTATTCTAATGATATTCTAATGATATTATTGTAGTATTATTGTGATATGTTGGTGGTACACTGGTGCTATTCTCGTAGTATTTTGATTGGTATTATTGCAGTATTTTGTTCTTATAATTGTGGTATTTTGGTTGGTTACTGATTCTTTTCTGGCGGCATTTTGTGGGTTTAATAGTGATTTTTTGGTGGCATTCAATTTGTTTATTATGGTTTTTTGTGCTTCTAAGGGTGTTTACTTGTGGCTTTTTTTGTGTGATTATGTGCTTGTTGTTACTCTTACTTTAATTTAGACTCTTTTGGTAACACTTTCTTGAACAACATGTACACATGCGCAGTTTAGTGAGCCAAGGAATGTGTGTAATAATACTCAAAATGTAAAAAAAATGGACCTCGTGCCACAACACATTAAACATTTTCTTTTGGACTCAATTTTTCTATAATTTCAGCTGAAACCATATGTTTGAATAGATGTACTTATTAATTTAAGTTAAAATTTACTTACAATTATCCTATTGGCTCTTTCATCCAGATTGCATCAATGAATCCTAAAACTTTAGCTTTGATACCACTTTTGTCATGATCCAGTCCAAGACTTGGAATTAACGAAGGCGGATGACGTGTATTGAATTTTTTATATTAACTTACAATTTAACAAATGAAAGAGCCACTATAAACTAAATTAAAGTGTTACAATGGAAATTACCTTGTTAATGGTTGTCCCCAGTGTCTATAAACATTTTCTCATGTATCGCTCATCTTTTAATAATTTAATTAAACCTAAAAAGTTAGTTAAAAGAACAGTAAATTAAATAAAGCTAGTGAATACTCATAATTTTAAACTATAACAATAATAAAAAAAACAATATGCATGTCAGTTAAGTTTTTCTTATAAATCAATATAAATATGTTATTCAAAGAGTTTTTATCAATATCATATCAGTATCATTCATGTCTATATAACCGTTATCGGATCATCTTCAAAATATTATACCATTAAAGATATTTCAATATCAATATCTTTTTTTATTTACATGCATGGTACATTAGTGTTCCTCACTACTATCATTAAGTGATGACTTTAAGCATTCAATCAAAATATGATTTTCTAATAAAAATATTCATTTTGCATAGCAGACAAATCAATCAATAATGATATGCACACATATTATTCCCATAATATGAACAAAAATTTGGTAGAATTCAAAATCATGAGTTACATTAATTTCAATATAACCAATGATAATACCAATAAATGCATTTGGTTTAGAAGAAATAAAATATTATCAGAATATAAGAACATGAGTACTCGCCTAGATAATAGATGTTTTGTTTCCACTTGTCTTATTTCATTCAAATTATCACCTATAAAATATAAAATATTCAATTATTGGTTAATTGTAATTTAAATAACAATTACTATTGTATTGAACTATTTAATTTTTAAATATTTTAAACTTTTAGGTTTAATAATTGTAATCAAACTTAATATTAATTATTATTAATTTACACGAAATATATTAAAAATTAAAACTCTAACATTTCTTTAGTACCTAAATCAAGTTCACTTAAGTTATAACCTTTAAATAATAAACTCAAATTATATATCATATATATATATATAATATTAAATAAGTAGCTTACACATATTCATGCTCGTCTTTATTTATTATTTTCTGAGTTTGTTTTTCATACTCTTTCTTTGATATTTTTTCATAATTGGTTCTATTTAGCTACCAGTAGGACTGTCTCCATCGAATTAGACATTTTAGTTTTATTCTTCTCATCTTGATATTTTCATTATATGCTTTAGCTATTATATTTTCCTTTTTGGGGTCTGGGTAGCTATTCAATATTGTCCTTTTAATTTTGATTCAGCTAGTTCTCCGCTTTTAATTTTGTTTTATCAGTGGACTATTCATTATGCGATAAATTTCTATTTATTGGTTTATTGTGTTATTATTTGCATACAATCATTCTTTTAAAAACACAAAACATGTTTAATTGGCTTCATTATGCCTTGAGTTGTTGGGGGTACCGTCTTCTGGACTCGTGGTGTGACATAGTAGTATCAGAGAGAGCCTATGTATTGTATTTAACCTTCTTTAACTTTTCATCTCATATTTCTTGTCTTCATAGGATTAAGTAAGGTTAGGTTTTCTTTGTTATTCAGTTATTTAATTTTGATTTCACATATCTTTCAATTATTTTAAATAGCTCCAAGAAGAAAAAGTGCTTCAACTGCTCATGGAAGGAGAGGCTAGAGAGTTACTATAAATGATGTACTTATTCCTAGTGTATTCACTCCCCTAATCGGTGTCGTTCTGATCCTACTCAAACCACCAAGGTTATTGGAGCACCAAATCTCAACATGAAAACTCTCGTGGAGGTGGCGACCTTGAATGTTACTAGAGCACTACAAGTCAATTTTGTAACAAATTACACAAGCGGTCCAAGCGATTCAGCATGCGACACAATCGACATTGCAAGCCACTCAATCAGTCCCATTAGTAGCTATTATGGGGGCACAACCCAATCAATCAATGGCAATGACCAATGTGAATACTATGAATCGAGTGATAGATCCACTTTTGAAGACACATCATCTTACCTTCAATGGCACAGTGGACTTGAGCGAGTGTAATGCATGACTTCTCGACATCGAGAAGAGGCTTTGAAGAATAAAATATCCTTAAGATTGTAAGGTGGACAATGTGACATTCCAATTGGAGCAAGTAGCTGATGATTGGTGGAAAATTCACCCCCGCAATATATTTTAATGAGACAATAGTTTCCTAGGTGGATTTTGAGAGACTATTCATGAAGCAATATTTTCCTATAGCAGATCGTGACAAGCTCAAGAATGACTTAAGGAAGCTTGAGCAAGGAATGGAGATCGTTCGTGAGTGCAAAACATAATTTGCTAGGATTGTATGTTTCATTCCATTGATTAATCAACTTGAAAATCAGAATATTACAACATACTTATTGCCTTAAGAGAGGACATTTGAGGGTGATTATTAGTTTTCAAGTGTATAACTTATAGAAAATTGGTGGATTGAGTTATTCATGCAAAGATAGAGATCAATGTCTGCGAGGAAAAGCATGTCTTCAAGCAGAAGAATTTAGTTGCAAAATCAGAATCATCAGACGCATAGTCAAAAACAAATCCTCAATGTGTTCATTGTAAGAAATGACATTTTGTGACATGTAACTTGGGCATCGACAAATGCTTCAACTATTATAGTATTGATCATAAATCAAAGGATTTCCCCTTCAAAGTTCATGGTCAATCGCAAGTGATGAATAACTAGGCAAATAATTCTGTCTCATCACAAGAATAAATGGCATAAGTCTGACGAAGGACAATTTTGGAAGCATCACAGAAAGAGTCAAGCAAAATGAAATTATTTTGTAGCTTCAACTACATCCAAAACAAATGGTGGCATCTCAACCATATCAACCACGTCCTCTTGTACTACAATATGAACAACCCAATAGCTCCCACTAAAGTTTCAACACAACTCAATGGTGTAGTACCACCCTCAGCTATCAAGCTCTACAGCAGCCTAGACAGGCAATTCCACCGTGAGCATTTATTATGATACAAAAAAAAGCTCATGAAGCTCCTAATGTGGTTATATTTAGTATCCTTATTATAAAAAACTAACAGGGGTATTATTTGACTCAGGGCAACACATTCATTCTTCTCAAATTTATTTGTATATACTGCATTGATTCATTCATTATATCACATTTATCAATCACTCTGCCATATGGCCGACCCATTATCATTACTCAGTGTGTTCGTGATTGTGATATTATCATCAATGACATGCATATGCCTGCTACTCTCATATTATTCCCACTATCTGAGTTCAATGTAATCTTGGGCATGGACCGACTATCCACATATCATGCAATTATAGATTTTCATAAGGGAGGGGTGAATTTATGCATACTAAGCTCAGTTTCCTTTTGGTAGAGGAGCCATTTCATGCCTAATTTTGGCAATTAAGGCCTATAATTTCTTCTTCCATGAGTGTGCTGACTATCCGACTCATATGATAAATTTTAAGAGATAAAGTGTTAGCTTAGATATTGTTCCAATGATTTAAGAATTCATTGATGTATTTTCTAAAGATTTGTCTGGCTTACTAACAGATCGTGAGATCAAGTTCACCATAGACCAAATTCTGAGCACCACTCTAATTTCTACAGCACCATATCAGGTGACCATTGTTGAACTTTAGAATCTCAAGATCCAGTTGAAAGAATTGTTTGATAAAGGATTGATCCAACCCAGTGTTTTACTTTACAGAGCACTAGTATTGAGCTTGTGGTTATGTGTGGAATAAAACAAAAGAAGATATTATTTTAAGTATGTTAGTATGTAAACGTCCATAATTCTTTTCTTTAAAAAAAAATAATGAACTAATAATAATAATAATAGTAATAATAATTGTCAATTAGGTGGTACCAAATTTAATGAATAAATAAACTAAATTGTATAATCATTTATATTTTAAATTTTAAATGGTGTAGAATTGTTAATTGAATCAATGAATTCGTATAACTATCGTGATTATCGTCTTGAGGCAATTAACTGCTTTTTATTAGAGGATAAACATACTCTTCCTCGTTAAAGACGTTCATCCTTACTAATTGTAGTAGTTTCATAGCTATTCCATAGGATTGCCAGACATTTCCTTACTATTTCAGTTAGAATATTACAATTGTATAGTGTTCAATTATTGTTCATGATGAGATTAAGATCCATCTTAATTTATTGCTGCAAAATTTTTTGCCTATTTGAATTAATCATGTAGTTATGATCTTCTCTTTTTTGCAGTTATATGAATTTACATCTGTCATACCACAAGCTTGCATGAAATATTATAGTTATTACATGTTATGCCCATGAAAATAATTTGACATGTTTGTGCGTGGTGATATGCAAGTCAGCAAAACTCTTTTACATTTTGGCTAACTGGACTGACAGACCCATAGAGTGAAGACTCTATGAGAAATTACCATATTTTTTTAGGTTGTTATTGACCTTCTAGGTTTCAGAGAGTCTATTAAAATCAGCTATATATAATTATAAATGAAAATTATATAATAAGAAACTTGATTGAAAATAATTGCATGTTATCTTATGGTAAGTGAGTATATATGATGTTTATCACTCTTGTTATCTTATCATAATATATATATATAAAAAAATATATATATATATATATATATATATATATATATATATATGCATGTAGAGATCACCACTATTTGTTTTTCATACTACAAACCTCACTTTCATTGTCATTTATGCTTTAATAAATAATTGTTATTTACTGAGTTTGTTTTTCAAATTTACTTTTTGATATTTTTTTATAATAAGTTTTATTTACCCACCAAGAGGACTGTCTCCACCAAACCTAACATTTTACTTATAGTTTTCTTGTGTTGGTCTTTTTATAGTATCTGCGTAAACTACAGTATTTTCCTTTTTAGGATATGGGTAGCTGTTCAGTGTTGTCCTTTTAGTTTTGATTCATCTAGTTTTCTACTTTCATTTCAGTTATATCACTAAACTATTCATTATGAAATAAAGTTTACATATATTAATATATTCATGTTATTATTTGCATAAAATCTTTTCTTTTCAAAATACAAAATATGTTCAATTCATTTTATCATATCCTGCATTGCCAGAATGTATTGCCTTACGGACCCGAGACGTGACAATGAACTTGAGAGATTGAGGGATGGGAGTGTATCCCATTATTGGTGTGGCTTGACGTGCCTCCTTGTTTGTGTAGGAGGAAGTTTTTGACATTGGAGAAGAGGTAAGAGAAGCCGGGTCTCTGATACCATGATGGAGCTGAAGTTACAATATGTACAGCTTCATTTGCATTAGATAAGAAATAGGAAATGTACAGATTTAAGATTTTCAGCTGAAGTTTGTTGCTACAATTACATCAATATATATAGAGCCAGTAAGCATAATTCTATAGAGGTTGGAGCGATCCTGGATGTAGTGCTTATCAGGATGTGGTAGTAGAGAGTATCCCTGATAGTGTGGTTTGCCTCAGGTCTTTTAGATGGGTGCATATAGCTTGGGAAGAGGCAGCATGAGATCCGCCTGGATGCAAAAGGAGAACCGGCATCTATCGGAAGGCTGCAATAATTCTTTGATTTGGTCAGTCCGAATTTTTAAGATTTTTAAAATTATAATCTTTATTTATTTTAGTGCCTTAAATGAAAATCATGTATTAGCAGTTTTTATAACATTAAATGATGTAATTTATTCTTATAAAAAGCTGGACAGCATTAGAAAACTCCCACCACTAATTTATCTTCCCACAAGTTTGAATCAAACATCATTATCTCATTGAAGGTCATAATTTCTAATAAGCTTGAAAAATGATATGCCGTCCATGATGTTCCTTGTTTTTCTGCCTTTAACAAAAAATGGGAAATAAAATATCAATATTACAACTTTAATCAATACAAATAGAAATAATAAACAACTCTTCAGAAATATATATAACAAATGGAATACCAACTCTATCTGAAGTACAAAGAAGTTATTCTATTGACATACTTCATGGAATTCCCATGCATAGGTACATACGGCTGCAGACAATTTCTATAAGAAATTCCATTGAAATTTTGATCAGAATTAAGAGAAATCATAAAATATGCATTGACGTGTGTAATACATAGATTTGTGCATGATCAATAGATGACAAATTTCTTTACATATCTGATGACTTTTTTTTTTTCATTCCTCGTGTCGAAATCTTTGAATAGAAGTAAAAAGAAGTCGGCAGCCTTGGAAATGTCGAAGATCAGTTGTCACTCCAATCGACATCGTTGTCGTCCTCATCACTGCTTGCGCATGCCTTGCAATATTAAAAAAATGTACAAAACATTAGCTCAAGGAGAGATTTTTTGGAGCTTAGCTCAAGAAAATTATTAACGCTTATGTTTAGTATTTGCCTAGTATGGATTAATATTGAAGCAAACACACCACCATATTGAATAATATTGATACATTTCTGAGCTAAAAAAATAATTTGTTTTAAGCTAAGCTAACAGAAAAATATCTATAAGAACATGATGCAGGAAAAGGAGAGCTACATATGAATATGAAGAACCTGGCGTATGGCATTAGCCTTCTCCAATATTGCGGTAACCCTGTCATTACTGGTGGGCTGGGTCACAAAACTTGGCCTTGATGTTGCAGCGCGTCTCAGATTAAATGTCTGTAGATTTTAGTGTTATACAAAGAGTTTATTGTAAACATATAAGGGTAATATAAGAAAATATTTAGACAAATTTTTGAGCAAATGTTCATAACTCAATGCTAGGCTTTCAATGTTTGCGTAGGGGCGGCTATACAGTGGATTTGCTAAACTTTGTATCCTCCAGGATGCACCGGTTTTACTCAAAATGTTAGGCCTTATTTCATAGTTTGTCATTCAACATCCATTAGAGAAGGATTTACTGAAAGATTTCAACACACTAAATATCTTCTTCTAAATTTTGATTTATTACTTCATTTTCATTCCATTAGCTACCAAGTTACTAATAGAAGGGTAAACTATAGCATCCATAATTTATGCATAAATTGATGTCATACCCTGTAGTTAAGGATAAATGACATCTTATCAGCAGGAAGCTACAAAACTTAATTTCTGAATGTGAATATTGAAGTTATACCTTGGTTCTTATTTGATGCAGCAGATCTCCTGTTTCATAAACTCCTTCACCACTAGCAATTTGACTCTTTGATTCTTTACATGGTTCCAGGTTGTGCGGAATTTCCTTCAGAGTATGTAAAACAACTTATGAAAAGGTGAGAAAGCAAGTGAGAAAAAAGGAATCTGAAGCAAGTTTAGCATCAGAACAAGAAATTTTATACAAAAATGTGATGTATTGTTAGAGAAATTGTCAAGGAGGTAAATTTTGAAAAGAAAGTAGTGTTGTAAATAGACATCATGTTTCGTCATAGATATTACCAACCCAACCCAACCCATCACACAAGAAAGGATTGCAATTTCTTTGATCACGAAGGGGACATAAGAAAAACTTTTTTAGTTTCAAGCAAGTAATTTTATATAAAAAAAAGACATGCTCACACTATAAACAAAAAAGTTGATTACTTAAATTCCATAATTTGATATGCTTATGAATTAAATCCTGATATAATCGTAAGTTGCATATAGCTTGACATTTTTACAGTTCAGTAAGAGCATCATGTTAATAAATTTCTAAGAAAAAGGAATTTGAAACTTACTGGGTCCCTGATTTGACGAAGCCATTGTTTTCTTCCATCTAGTTCGCATGTCTTCTGATTATCTTGCTGAAAGGATAAGTTAAAGATGGTGAAAAAAAAATATAATCTAAAAATTAAGTTGCAATAGATGATAATGATAAATGTAAATCATGTTAACAGAGCTAACTACCAGTTGCTTGTGCTGTCCATCTACTCTAAGGTGCATTGTCAATTGAATACTGTTTTCAATTTCCATGGGTGCAGGCAGATTTTGATTCTGAGAGTACTCAAAATGGTTAACCATTTGGGTAAGATCAGAGTAGTTATCTCCTGATATTTCATATGAAGGCCTTGTCAATCTCCATTGTATTGGAGGAAGAGGGGGTGGTGGTGGCAGTTCAGTAGGCATTAACGTTGTAGCGTTTGTGGGACTAACTGAAAAAGATTCATATCTTACATCTTGATTCATTAATGATTCAAAAGTGGGAATATTTGAAGTATAATGAGGAAGAAAAGAATCTGTATCATTCCCACAACAAATATCCTGATGGTTCATTTGGCTTGAATTAGTTTCTGTTGATGATGAAATCCTTCTAAAATCATCAGAGAGCTCATTTGTTTGAATTTCAGAATATTCATCTTGCTCCCAAAGCTCAGAATTAGAATCCGAGCAGGCGCTGAGAAGATCTTCAGTTGAATATGGATTAGACTTACAGAAAGTGTCATCAGATTCAGAGGCACTATCTTGTGAAGGAAGATTGCATCCTGAAAATAAATGTAATGGAGGAGGCATATTTGCATCAATTCTTTGATTTATATAACCGTCAGGTAGTTCCACTTTCAGATTAGATGCTGCTATACTATTCATGGGATGGAATGATATCTTCATATGCTCCAATGGTGGGGAAGAATTCTGAGAGTAGTGAGAAGTGGAAGAAAGTGGGTATTCCAATGATCCATAATCAGTCTTATTTATGAGACTCTGCTCGTGGAGTGTCTGTGATGCAACTTCATTAAACCTTTTTCTCTGATTATCAACGAGAGGTTTCTCCTCTGATTGATTAGAATCAATATTGACAGGCTCTTGTTGGGCGGAACTTTTAGCATTACTAAGTGATGGTTTTATATGAAGACACTGTACAAGATTTCTTTGAGTTAATCCAGAGAAACTGGGAGACAAACACTTCCTATTCTGCACAGAATCCGTGGATAGTGAAGCAGCACTAAATGGGCCGCATGGTTCAGATACCTTGCTAGAAGGACGTTTTGTTGTTTGATGTACTTGACTAATCATAGTGGTTAATACATTTGGGGACGCAACTTGACTTCCTTCATGCTCACTAAATGAAAGGGATACAAATTGTTCTTGAGGATTCTGCTGAATACCAGAGCCATCATTATTATGACCAATGCATGTTGAGTAAGCTTCCAGGGAACTATTTTCATCAACTAGATATTTCCTACTCAAGGCTGGATTGCTGTTCAAAATTGCCTCATCCGTGAAGTTTAAAGATTCAGTTGATCCTTGCACATTGCCATCTGACTTCAACTGCTTTGATATCTGTCCAATGGCCATATTTTGTTTTTCTGACTTCACACTGCTGTTCAAATTATTAGATTGAGACATCGCCCCTGTTCCATTTGGGAGATTAAGATCTACAGGTTTTGATGGTTCGAGTCCTAGAAGGTTGCCATTTGTCCATAATTTCGAGGAAGGAATATTTGAAATACTGACCGGAGGTGAAGTCTGGATCGGGGATGTTGCTGCTATAGTTTCACGGTTCAGAACAGATTCTGATTTGGCATTGATAGACCATGGATGTTGATCATCATCAGTTCCATGTAAGGTATTTGTTATTGACATTGTGGGAACGCTACTTTCAAAAATTTGGCCCCCATCATAGGCCGCGCCTGGAGATAAGTCAGTTTCCAGGGTTGACTGCATAACTTCTAGCATTCTTGAAGCATCAAAATTGGTATCACTTGGCACCCTGTACTTGTTTGAGGAATCATGAACTGACATAGGAACCTCATTCTTAGAGTGGCTATGATATTGAGCCATGCTTGCAACTCCAGATTCATTTTTCTGATGCTCCATATCAGACAAAGATTGCATGCATTTTGTTGGGCACTCGGAATCTGTTTCCACTTCTGATTCCAGCGTATTAAGAGCGTCCACATAATTATCTGTCTCATTAACTTCCTCAAATTCGTTTTTATCACAAGGTAATCTGGGTAAATCTGCAATAATTGACGAGGGTTTTGCTCGGTTTAAAGATCCAGTTCTAGTAGGCTCCTCAACACTTGATGATTCAGAGTTCACAAAGAAAGGCTTTGAATCTTGAGTGCCATCAGAAAATTTGAGACCTACAGTCTTCACTAATTCGGATTTTTCATCCCATGTAACAGAAGGCGACCATGAAGTAATCTTCCAATGCAGGAAATCATCTTGAGAATCATTATCCACATCAAATACAAGTTCATCATTATGTAGCAGAGAAGCACCAGTATGATCATGATTGTTCTGTGTATTAGAAACTGAGAATCTGTCATACTCTGGAGCATTATGCATAACTGAATGGTTTGTCTCAGAAACTTGCCCAGTACAGTTCAACTTGTTCATAGTATTCAAAGGTTGTGAAGAATTTTCAGCTGAAAAGCAATTGTCATCATTACTTAGAGGTGCGAACCTTGCACTGCTCTCTAATCTGATCATTTAAAAATTAATTTAATCATAGCCACATGTTAGAAAACAAGTAGAATTAAAACAGAAAAATAATTATTTGCTTCGGTACTAGGATAAAGAAGACACACCTGTTACATTGTGAAGTAGGTTCTGGGTCTTGAATTTCTTCTCTAAGTCGTGAATATTTTCTCTTGACAGTATAATAAGATAGACATTCAGATTAACAGGAGTAAGAAGCTCATCAATATATATAATCTCGTTAAGGACTCTCATGAGTGTGAAAATAAAAAATATATATGATTATTGCCAAAATATTTAAGAAAATAATAGACTTTAAATTGGTATTGTTCAGGTTATATGTGTTGCATGGGTAAATATGCAAGTTGAAACAATGTCTACTTGTTAAACATAGAGTCCACATGAATTGCGACATGAGATATTGTGACTGCATGAGGGGGCATGAAAAGCGAGCGAGAGAGAGAGAGAGATCATAATTTATTGAAATCCGGCATGCATGAACTGTCAAGTATTCTGTGGAAGCACCATGGGATGAAATTGTCATTGAAACCGGATTTTTACTAACGAAACAAAGATTGTGGTGAATGGAACAGAATTTAACCATTGGCATGCCAATTGGTGTGATTCTATTACCATAAATCCTTATAAATGCATCAGTGACAAGGTATGTTGGATTACTTGTGCTGAAACCAGTCCTGCCTAAACTGGACTTACAAATGTTAGGGGGTGTAGCACATGTTCTCTTTGAATATTTGGCATTGCCGGAATAAGGATGCAAAAGCATTGTCTTAAATGCAAAATATGCACCATAAACCATCTCAAAAGAGAGAAAAACACAGCACAAAAATTATACGGTTCAGCTTCTGTAGAAAGAATTGTTCAAAATATAATCTATACATTCATAACAAGGACTTAAATAGGTTATTACAATGTTTTACAAATAAACCCCTAGACTTCTTCAATATAATCTTTTTACCAATAGGACCCTAAATAAGGTCCAGATCTCAACACTTCCCCTCAAGATGGGCAAAATATATCCACTAAGCCAATCTTGTCACATAACTTAGACAAATCAAATGAACTAAGTCCTTTAGTGAGGCAGTCAGCCACTTGCTCTCCAGTGACTACATGACTTAGCTTCAGTAGCTCGTTAGTCAGCTTTTCCTTGATGAAGAATCTATCAATCTGCACATGTTTGGTTCTATCGTATTGCACTGGGTTGTGCAAACTTGTTGTCATATCACAACTCCATTTGAGTTCCTTGGTTCTCCTTGAGCTCGACCAATAAGGTCTCAACCATATCACCTCGACAACTCCTAGGGCCATGGCCTTGTACTCTGCCTCTAATATTGACCTCACTACTAAAGACTGTTTGTTGCTTTTTCAAGAGACCAAGTTGTCCCCTAAGAAGATGCAGTATCTTGAGGAGGATCTTCTATCATTTGCACAACTTACCCAACTAGCATCACAAAAACCCTTAATGTCTACATGTCCATTCTTCCTGAAGATTAGCCCCTCCCTGATGATTTGTGAAAACTACAGTTTTTGCCACTGCTCTGGATATATGTGTTCCACCTAAAGTATGATCGCAAAAACCGTATTTTCAGGGGGAGGATCCATTCTTATTCACCTGATCTTTCGATTTCAAATAAGGGTGAAACTTATGACATTTATCAAGGTTATGCCCAAACATCTTACAATGAGAACAATAAGGAGGACTATGCCCCATGACGATTTGTTGCCCATATCAATTATGAGTTGTGCCCAACAAGACTTCAGTAATATCAGGTAAAGTAATATCTCTTTCAATAAGTATTCTGGTCACAGAAGGTCTAGTTAGGTTGAAAGTGGGTAGATCTAGCTTCATAGGATCCCCAAGTATGACACCAGTAGAGTAAAGAACCTGATGATGAAAAAAATGCAGCTTGAGACCAGATAGACTAAACCATACTGGTACAATAGACGGTTCATGATTGGGGTCAAAATCAGGAGGCCACTTGAGTAGCTTCATTGGTTTAGCAGCAATGTTAAGATATTTTTTGGAGAAAATCCGAGTGCAGTCTTCAAGCACGGTTAATTGAATCAATACGTGTCTCCCATCCATGAGCTCCACTTTCCACTTTCCTGCTAATTTGAGATCATCAAAACTTTTCCTGATAACATCCATAGGTGGGTGTCGCCACTGAAATTTTTCAATAAGAGCAAACTTGAATTTATCAGTCAGGGATGAAATTTCTAATGAAATTTTTAACTTAGAGAAAAAAAAGCTGTTTTCCCACTTTTCCTGCTTGCATTCTTAATAAATGGGCAGTCGCCTATACCATCATGATGCTCCTTATAACTTGAGAGGAAGACAACCGTCGTCTCCCCATGAGGATTACCCACAACGTGGGCAAAGGAGGCTTTGCCAGGTTCAAATGAAGAAAAAGGAAGCTCCATCATAGCAAGGAGAAACCCTGCCAAGTAGGGCAGAGGGCAAAAACGACAAGCCGAAGAGGTCGGGGCGAAACCGCAATTGTCGAAGCCGCGGAACAGCCACAGCTCGACGATGTCCATGCAAATGGTAGACAATGACTAGCCATGAAGCAGTTGCAGCTTGACGAGATCCACGCAGAAGCCGGATAGCGTGAAGGAGAGACGACAAAATCGCAGAACCTCAAAGTCCCTTCGTCGTTGGGCAGAAAGAAACGATGGCGCGTAGGAGTCGACGATCGCAGAAGAGATTGAAGAACGCAGAATTCATCGTCAAGCACAATGGGAAAGCCGAAGGATCAAACCAGGTTTCACCATCTGGCGAAACTCTAGCGGAGCAGCCCGC